TTTGCAACCGGAAACAATCCATCATTTGTTCTTTACATGCCTCGTTTCTGTATCTATTTGGCGATTATCTCAATCCCCTCTTAATTTTCTCATCATTCCATCTCACGACACAGAGACATGTATAAGAATGATACTTAAGGCACAAGAAACGAATGACCTGTCGGATACAGAGAAGTTACTACCGTTCTGGATATTGTGGAGAATCTGGAAATCAAGAAACTCATTTATTTTCCAAAACAAACGTCTGCGACCAAATAGTGACGTCAATAAAGCAAGAGCTGATGTTGCAGAATGGCTACAAACGATGTCCCCACCATTTACATCGTCGCAAAACCAACCTCTACAAACATCTTGGACTCGACCATCTCTAGGATTTTTTAAGTGCAATTACGATGCAGCTTACAATCCTCAAACACAACAAAGTTCGGCTGGATGGCTAATCCGCGATACTTCTGGCTATTGTCTTTCTTGGGGTTCAGCACATATGGGTCACTCTGCATCAAACCTTGAAGTGGAAGGAAAAGCTCTACTTATCGGGCGAAATTGTTGGTTCCTAGGATGGACAAATGGCATTTTTAAAGGAGATTGCAAACTACTTACGGACCTACTCCAAAATGCTGCTCAAGATATTTCTGTGCTTAATCTTTTAATCGATATCAGGTTTTGGTTGGCCAAGTTCACCAATGTTCAAATTCTACATGTTAAAAGACATTGTAATAGGCTAGTCTTTCAAATAATGTATTCTCCTCAGCTTATAATCCTCCGTCGATTTGGCTGATACCAACATTGTACTCTGATTTAAATTATTCAATATAAATCTTATATTTCGACAAAAAAAAAAACGTACCATGGATTCGAAGAAAAAATAACAATATTTTGGTTTTCAAGTAATTGTATCTCAAAGAAACAAACGCAACAACAAAAAGTCATACAATATAACTCTTTTAATCCTTTAAAAAACAGCTCTAATATCATATTATATATTGTATATTATACTCAGATATTCCAAATTTACAGCATATAAATGATCAGATTAATTATGTTCAAATAAGCAAAAATACAAACTATATAAAAAAAACAATTCAAAAATATAAATAATTATTAAAATTTCTACATACAGCCAATATACAAACACAATACAACATCAAGATATATATATACAAAAGCCTAATCAAATAAATGAAAATATGTGATATTGATGTTGGTACATATTAAATTTAAGAGTGTGAACACACCCTAATCAAATAAATGAATTCGAGGAAGGAAACGAGCAAGTTGAGTAAGTAAACATATCAAATATTTAGTAAAAAAGAAGTAAGAAAAAAATAAACAAATTAAAATATGTAAGCAAACAATGAAATAGAATTGGTTAGGCCTGTCTATCAAAAAGATTTGATAAACTACTATAATTTGTCTTTAATAGAATTCCACTGAAGTCCTACAAATCAACATTACAATATACTGGGATTATATTGTCAACTTTGGATGATTAAATATGTTTAATATGAAGCTGTCAAAGAATTTTTTTCTAAAAACAAATCGAAAGATATTTGACATAAACAAGTTAACAAGTCAAAGCTGTAAGAAACAAGTAAGTAAGGAAAACTCAAAGAATCAAAGAAACAAGGAATAAAGCAAGTAAACAAGTTAAACATGTAAGTAACAATGGAAAAAATAAGTTAATGATGTATGGAAACACAAAATCAAATAATCAAAGAAACAAAGAATAAAGCAAGTAAACAAGTTAAGCATGTAAACAAGCAATGAAAGAAACAAGCAAAAAAAGTTTAGCAATAAAATAATCAAAGAAGTAAGCAAATAAACAAGTTAACGATGTAAGCAATCGGTGAAAGAAGCAAGGAAACACAAAATCAAAGAATCAAGTCAAACATGTAAGCAAGCAATGAAAGAAGCAAACAAGCAAGTTTAGCAATGAAATAAGCAAATAAGCAAAGAAGCAAGCAATTAATCGAACAAAGCAAATATGCATGCATACATGTACACATGCATCATGCATGGATGTATGCACTGTCCAAGGAAACCAAGGGACAATAGTGTTAAAGTAGTTGGAAGATATTTTTCAATATATTCATATACTTTAATAATATTCTCTTGTTTCCGTCTACAGCGTAATCTCTTTGATTTTGGTGGTGATGGTACGTACCTATGAATAATTTGTTGGGATCTCAGATAGGTTCACAAGGACTAAAAGAGGCGATAACTTCAAGCTATAAGAGAAAATTAAAAGACCAAACAGAAGAAACTAGAAGCTAACCCTTTGAGATAGATTCTTTTGAATCACCTTTATCACAAATATGTTTCTTGCTCAAGTTCTTGGGTTTTCTCTACGAGGGGATCCACTAAGATGACAACTTACAAGTATTAGAGGGGTTTGCGTATTGCATCATCTGAATCAGTAGCTCAATCCAGAATATACTATTTAAGGTCGCACTATGAACACATTTTTACACATTGAAGTAAAAAATAAACCTAAGAAACATGCATTCCTCGAAAATATTAAGGAAGAGAAACCAACAGCTTCATCTATGCCTAATCAAAACTCGATGACACTTCTCCTCTCTTGATCTAATTGTTTTAAGCTTCTTCCCTGTCAAACTTACACATTTATTAACTAAATCCGAGACACAAAAATATGAACAACAAGATTAGGTCAAGAACAAGAGCATTAACTTTACAATACCTTGATGCATTCATATTTCTCTTACTAAATCATGTCGTTCTCTGCTGCTAAACGTTGTACTAAGTCAATGTTTACAGTCTTTTACAGAATAATGAAAGATTGATTCATTCTCACATTTCAGCTTCTCTTTCGTTCTTCTCTCTTTCTCTCTATTATTCATATCGTGACAGCTAAAGGAGTGATTCCTCCAAAGGCAAGACATGGTTGTGCAAGAGTAGAAATCCAAATTGATACGAAAAACCCAAACCATGTTCAATCAAAATTCAACCACGGCAAGTTTTTTTTTCTTTTTCTTTTATCATAAACCATCATTAGTCCTTCATTCCCACAAAATGATATCTATGTATACATTGTAAAGCAAAAGACACTTGCTCTACGATTGTCTCAAAACATTATGAATATATACTATCAAATTTATTTTCTGTATGAAGCTCTTAACCGGAAGTGAAGACTCTAGAAAAAATACTGGTACTCCTTGATCACGGAATTTGCCAAGTTAGTGTGCTTTAAGCTCTGTAGCTATCTCTTCCAAACCGTCAGATGAGCTTCTGGACCACATAATTTCCATACTTGTGTGTAACAAGCACAGCAAATGAAGGAGAAATTTCGGAGGAGATTGAGAGAAGAGATGCACTGTGAGCAGCTTCAGTGAACATTCTGATAAAGTTTCAATGAATTTTCCGACAAAGTAATTGCCTGCTACATCCATATGTATTTGCAATTCCTATAAACAAGTCTATCAAAAATTATTTTGCACAGGTTTTGTTTATGAAAATTGCAACCGAAACTTGTAGGATGTGAATTAATTTTAGTGGTATTTAATATTAAGTCAAAATCAATAAAGACTTCACTGAAGAAACTGCATACAAATACAATATGAAAATTCAATTATAAATTGATCTACAATTTAGTTTTTCTTAAATTTGAAAACCTGAAGTAGTAGAAATTTAGATTTATACCAATTTTTTAATAAAAAAGATTTATACCAATTTATCTCAAATACAATATAGATTAGAGGGAATTGCTGAATATGACTCAAAACTTGAGTTGAAATACAAAACTAGACCCTTTATTGCATGTTTGACAAAAATAACTCACAGAGATAGTGAAATTACAACATTAACCCTTATGGCCAAACAAATAAATGTAAGCCTCAATTACTGTTTTATCCCAGAGAAGTTTACTAGAGAAGTTAAGTATACTGAAATGTGAGAATTTAAGTATACTTCTCGAGTAGACTTCTTGGAGAAGTCTACTCTCTAATAATATGTTTACAATTAATTTTAAAAATCATAAAAAATAATTTGATAAAAAAATTAGATACATAACACAAATATATACTTTTTACATCTATTAAAAATAAAATTTGATAAACAATTTAAATCATTATAGATAAATTAGGATAAAAATCAATAATAAGTAGACTTCTCGGTTTCTCGAGTAGACTTCTCGAATAGACTTCTTGGAGAAGTCTAGTCTCTAATAATTTTTTTACCATTAATTAAAAAAATCATAAAAAATAATTCTACTTAAACAATTTTTTCTGCATATATAAAAAGAATTTAACTTAATTGTATTAACCATAAAATCTCTCTATCTCAAAATCATGTCTCGCAATGGATAGAAAATGTGTAGATTCTAGTGGCAGCGAAAGAAAGATCTCGTTATATATATATTAAAATCATTGCTTCGCGTGGTACTTATCCTATATTAAAATTTAAACAGAAAAATATTATATGTGAAAATGCATGGAACAAAAAAAATGATACGAAAAATTTAATTATTGAAAAAGAGGTAAAAGGAATTCTCTTCCAAAAACATTCTTGGTTTATTGATAATATAAATGGAACGTTAAAAATAATTTTCAAAAACATATGCAATTTTATGAAATGTATTTAAAGATTGTTATTCGTAAGAGAAAAAAATAAGAAAACAAATAATTATAAGACACACAATTATGTAGAGTATTTTTTTTATAGTGTTAAAAAAAATTATAAATGAATATATACAATACAAAAATATGATGTTAATATGTAATTTTTCAAACTATATGATAATTAAAAATTGGTATATGTGAAAAGATAATTATAAAGAAGTTTTTTAAAACATGTTATAAAATGATTATAATTATAAGTGAAAATTAAAATTACAAGAAAATAATTTTATATGATGAAAATTTGCCATTTTCTTATAAATATTATACGAATACCAAAAGCAGTTATAAAAAAAATATTGAATAAAAAATACGATGAGTTAACCAAAAACTATTAGTTGAGCATAATATTAGGTCAGGACAATAATGCTGTAAGTAAGAAAGAGAAACAAAATTGAATCTATAAAAATGCTTATCTATTTGATATAATTACTTAGAATGCCATTAACATGAAAACTTTGTCGAGCGTCGTAAATTCCCAATAATACTGTTTACTATTTGCTGTTAACACTGTTTATAGCCAAAATATTGTTTATCAAATGTTAAATAATATAAATCTATATAGTTATTATTGTAACGATCCAGATCTGGCCTAATTGAATAAGTTTAAATAGATTAATTTGGCTAAGAGAACTCTAGAGTTAAGCGTGCTTAAGCTGGAGCAGGAATAGGATGGGTGACCTTTTGGAAAGTGATTCCCGAAACCGTGTGAGTGAAGCCAAAACACGGAGAAAGATCATGTGGTGATTGCAAGGTCAGTAAATAAGTCGGTTGGGCTCCGGAAAATAATGCACCGGCCGTCAGACAGGGGCGGGGCCCACGAGCCCGACGGAGGGATGGGTGACTCGTCCGTAGGGGTGGTCGGAGACGTTACAAATGGTATCAGAGCCTCAGAAGTCAAACTAGTTATGTCCCAAGAGACTGTCCTAGGGTTTTGGGGTTAGAGCTCACACTATCGGGATCAGAATTTGGGGTCGAATTCCCGTTTAGTGGGGGAGAATTGTAACGACTCGGGCCCGGCCCATTTGAATAAATTTAAATAGATGAATTTGGCTACCTATGTCACCAAATTGCACTTATTTTTTTGGTTAGTGGGCCTGAGAGAACTCCAGAGTTAAGCGTGTTTGAGCTAGATCAGGACTAGGATGAGTGACCTATCGGGAAGTGATTCCCGCAACTGTGTGAGTGAGGCCAAAACAAGGAGAAAGATCATATGGTGATTGCAGGGCCAGTAAATAAGTCGGTTGGGCTCCGGAAAAAATAACGCACCTGCCATCGGACAGGGGCGGGGTCCACGAGCACGACGTAGCGATGGATGACTCGCCAGTAGAGGCGGTTGGGGGTGTTACAATTATGTAGTTAACATGTTAAACAAGTTAACGTACTGTGAAAAATACATGTTAAATCAGTTATCTACCTTTGAGGAAGTGATTTCCGAAACCGTGTGAGTGAGACCAAACACGGGAAAAGATCATGTGGTGATTGCAGGGTCAGTAAAATAAGTCGGTTGGGCTCCGGAGAAATTAACACACCGGCCGTCGGACAGGGGCCGAGCCCACGAGCCCGACGGGGGATGGGTGACTCTAAGGTAGGAGCGGTCGGAGGCATTACAAGTGGTAAAGTGGTATCAGAGCCTCGAAAGTCAAACTGGTTCTGTCCCAGGACATTGTCCTAGGGTTTGGCGGTTAGAGCTCACACTATCGGGATCAGAATTTGGGGACGAATTTCCGTTTAGTGGGGGAGAATTGTAACAACCCGGGCCCGGCCCATTTGAATAAGTTTAAATAGATTAATTTGGCTACCTATATCACCAAAGTGCACTTATCGTTTTGGTTAGTGGGTTTGAGAGAACTCCAGAGTTAAACGTGCTTGAGCTGGAGTAGGACTAGGATGAGTGACCTATCGGGAAGTGATTCCCGAAACCGTGTGAGTGAGGCCAAAACACGGCGAAAGATCATATGGTAATTGCAGGATCAGTAAATAAGTCGGCTGGGCTCCGGAAAAAATAACGCACCAGCCGTCAAAAAAGGACGGGACCCACAAACCCAACGGAGGAATGGGTGACTCGCCGATAGGGGCGGTCGGAGGTGTTACAATTATGTAGTTAACCTGTTAAACAAGTTAACATAATGAAAAATACATGATAAATCAGTTATCTATCATACATGTTTAACCAGTTATTCATGTAAACTATATGTTAAACCAATTATTTTGTGGAAAATTATCGTGTTAACTTAATTATCATATTATAAATAATACATATTATTAAAAATACATGTTTAATCAGTTATCCAACATACATGCTAAACCAATTATTCATATAAAATATAAGTTAAACATGTTATCCATATAAAATTATCATATTAACTCAATTATTATATCACAAAATATATAATTTATTGTTAACTTAACTATGTTCACTTAACAAATTTATGTAAATCATTTGTTCAGTGTTAGTGTTACTGATGTTACCATCAGCATCATTCTGCAGTATTATCGTTATCATCGTCTTTATCATTAACTCACCTGTTCAACATCAATAACTCAGTTATCATCATGGTATTGCTGACATCGTAACTGTCATCCCATGAGCTGTTGAGAAACTAACCGCAGCTGTGATTTAATTTTAAGAATATATGATTTCATCCACTCATATTTCTCTAAAAAATAATAATAATGCTACAAGATTTAATGATGCATTTTCTAAGACTATTATGGATAGAAGGAAAAATACAAAGATTTAAAGATATCATTTTCTAATTTTGTTTTTCACATTATTTAAAAAAGTACATAACTGTTTAGGAGCAATTTACAAAATGCTTACGGGGGTGTGTGATCGTCCAGAGTCATGGAGTTAGGTTTTCGAGTTTCATTCTCTGGAGGGATGTGCGGTATGTGGCTCTGGGTGAAAGTCTGGCGGGGTTTCGACAATCGAGTAAATTGGTTCACCCGGGGGGAACCGGAAGGGGTTTTCCCTCCCAAAGGTTCTCCAACGCTCAAGTCATTGAATGCCCTACGGAAAACAGGAACTCGGGGTAGGTTTTGTAAGTTGTTGTAGTTCGGATATCCCATCCGTGGATCGTGATACCCATCTGTTTGGTGAGGGTGGAAGTAGGGTAAATGGATCATGACGAGAGCGGGGTAGAAACTCTCTCTACATAGGTGTTATGATATCCAACTAAGGAGAGAAAGGAAGGCTTATCTCGGTAGGCTTTCTTCCGGGGACGGCGAGCGTTCCTCTTCAGTCTCACTATTTGGTAGGGCTCGGGAAGAGCTCCGGTGAAATGGAGGTAGGAGGTCTTCCCTCTTCCTCTCCTTTTGTTGTATCTTCTCTCCCTTTAGAGGTTTTGGGCTCATGGATCTGGATTCAGCCGATACCCTTTCTTTTGGCTTTAAGCCTTCTTTTATACGCCTCTTTCTCTCATCAGTCCCATCCATGTGACGTGCGGTGGGGGCAGGTAAGCTGGTACATCACGCTTGACTTGGTAAGCATGCCGCCTTCCCGGGAACAGTCCGCTAGGAAACCACTGGCAGGCCTAAACGGAGAAGTCAATGCTTGGGCGGGGCCCAATAGCCATGTGTCATCCCAGGGTTGGCAGTGTAAAAGCGGGCCCAATAATTGCCCCTGACTTGTTGACTGATTGGAAATGAGTCAGGGAATCAATCATTTCGTCGTTCCTGGAAGATAATCAAAATTTGTCTAATCCTCGAGGGTTTTGGCTAGTCCGAAGCCGTGCTGGAACAGTTTGTCCCGGCCCCGCTGTGCATCCCGGAGGAGTACGAGTGTAACCGAGGCAAAAACGAGGTTTATAGAAAATTAGTCGAAAAGGCTCAACCTAACCTTGCCACGTATCCTGGGAGAGTACATGTGATGTTGAGGCTTTTATCTCTTAGCTCAATCCTCAAACACAAATATCATTGTAGCACTTGAGGTGTCAATCCACTTGGGAAGCTAATGACACTTGAGATATAGAGAACTTTACTAAGCTAAGCTAACAGAGAAATGATTTGATATCAAACAACCTAGTGACAAACAAGGAAGCAAAAGAAGGCAAACAAGAACATAATAACGAAATAAAGCAATGATAAGAGCAAATTAAGCAAGGCAAAACAGAATATAACTAAGCTTCAAGGATAAAAGGCAAGGCTCAAGATTAAGGCAATGTGACTTTAGGTGGTTCTAAATCATGTTCAAGGTGTGGAAGCAACAATCAATACAATATCCATAGGCAAAGGCTAAAATCATAAATTAATTCAATCACTTGGTACTAATCCCTTTGTCTTATCATATTTCAAACCCATGGTCAATTGTGTATATATGACAAGCAAGCATTCAATCACAAAATCTATAAAGCCAAAAAGCATGCTAGACATCTAATGTCTTAGACTAGGTTTACTAATCTCTTGTGCAATATATCAAACGTTAAAGACAATTTCTCCACCAATGTGGTACTAAGCAATAAGCACATTTAACCAAGAAATGATAGATGCAAAGACTCATGACTAACTAAACACCATTTTCAAGCATTGAATTTCATTCAGATATTTCATCAAACACATAGTGTGCAAGTGAAAACCTAAGATCAACTTTTCCAACAAAGAGATACTAAGCATTAAACACAATCACACAAGAAGGAAAATATAAAGATCTAACACTCTAACACCTTAAACAATCATTAGCACCACCCTAATCTACCTTAATCTCAAATATAAAAGTTACTACTCGCTAATCATTGTCAAAACCACAAAATCCATAGAGAGAGTATGATAAGATATGATTAGGAAGAAGATTATACAAAGAAAGATTAAGAGAAGTGCAGAAATTCAATAATCAAATAAAGATTCTACAAAGTTTACTCAAAATAGAATGTTCTTAAGCTTAGAAACAATAAAAGATAGATTGTCCAAAGTTTTTAGGCCTTAACATATTTATATGAGGAAGAAATACCCATAATAAACTAGGAGTAAACCGATTCTTGATCTGGTTCGAGTGGTAATATCAGGGTGTACTGTTCGATACGCTAGTCGATATTGGCTTCATCTGTCGCTGCCTCTTGCAGCATATTAAGGTATGCTCTTTGACCTTTCTGACCCTGCCTTTAAATCTAGAACTGTGTTGTTGTTGATTTGTCTTGTTGATTTTGCAGCCAATTCTTGCCAAAATCTCTCAAATTTTTGAAATACTAGCAGTGTTAGAAATGGTCTTAAGGCTCTGATTGGTGCATGAGTTAGCATTGATTAAGTTTGAGCTAAAAGCCTAACTCAAAAATGTTAACAATCATATGTTAAATTTGGGGTTTTGTAATTTTAAGTTTGAGTTATGGGCCTGGCCCAAAATTTTGATGTACCCTCGACCAAAAAATAAAATAAACCCTTATTTAATATGTATTTTTATTTTTATTTCTAAATAGGTCCTTAAATGTAAAAAAATTTTGCCAAAAATTAACTGGACCTGTGCATTTGTATCTTGGGTACATGCCCATAACTAGGCCATGGCTGATATAAAAATTTGAGTTGTCTATTTGTTAAATTTCTAAGTCAAAAGTTGATACTAAATAAAAAAAAAGTAATAATTTACAAATTGAGTTATCATATTTCTCTCAATTTTAAATTTCTATTGATGAAAAAAATTCTAACCGCTAAATGGATCAACTATGGATTATGGTATCGTTCTTTTCCCATTGTTGAAAAACCAAATTTGGTAGAAAATATTTTTTCAATTTTTACTTTCACATTTTTTTGTTGAGAAAATCTTTTTTGAAGTTAGTAGAAGATTTTGTTGCTATTTGAATTATTCACACAAAGTTGTTCCTATGATTTTAAATGTTGATTTTATTTTATATTTTTTTAAATAACTACTAATATATATATATATATATATATGAACATTAGTAGTCAATTGTCGACAAACAAAAACACCATTTACGAGTTCAAGGTCTGCTTTTCTTTCTTCTTTCTACTCACATAGATACTCTTAAATCTTGATTCATTTTTTATATATTTTTAAAGATATTAGTGTAGAATTTGTTATGATCTTACTAATTATTAATTGTTTTATTTTCTTTTGATGAAGATGTCTAATGATGGTGGTGTCGAGGTTGATGATGACGCAAGTATTCGTCGTAAGGTAATTATTATAAGTGATATTAAACATATTAGACATTGCAAGTTACAGTATTTAATATTATTTACGTAAACTATAGAAACAAAAACAAGTTTTTTGGGAAGTTGAGCATATTAGGATATACTTGGAGCTTCTAGATATTGAATTGGCCAAAATTAGATATAAGCAGAAGTTGCAGAAAAAAGTTGGAAGAGAATGTATTTATAAAAGGTTTTTGAAAAAATGGAATAAGTCTTCCTTGGGAATCTTTCAAGAGTAAATAGGAGTATAGGACGCTTTGAGAAATAAGTATGGATCATATAAGAGGTTGGTGAATTTCAGCAGACAGCAACACTGGTATGATTTATATGGATTCTGACTGGTGGGATACTAGGATGACCGTGAAAAGGTACATTATTTTCTATTTTGAATTTTAAAATAGTTTATTATAAGTTATAGCTAATGGTTATTGATGCTTACGTAATATATTTTATGATTGATTTTTGCAGGAAATACAATATACAAAACAGATTTGTGAAACGAAATCCCTCATATGGAGCTGATGACGCATATATTTGGCCGTCAAGGTAGTAAACCAGAAGCTATGTACTCAACTCATATACTCATATACAAAATCCACAGAATGTTGAACAAGATGAGAAGGAGCCAATGGATAAATCTGTTCCAGAAATCATGGATAATGCTGCAGATGATTCAAACAACATTCGTACAAGTGATGTTCATTTACATTCACAAACCAGTGTCATCTATCGGTCCATCAAAGTGTTCAAACAGAAAGCAGTCACGTTTCACTCCATACGGAAGTAATCAAGGGGAAAGGTGTATCACAGAGTCGGGAGAAAAATATACCACGAAGAAGAAAGAGTTTTGAAACAGAGATAAATGGGCACTTCAAGGAAATAATGGAATTCCGTCGTGTTCAAGCGACAGAAGCAAAAGAGCGTAGAGAAAAGAATGAAGCTCAACCATACAAAGAGGCATATGGAATTTTCCAATCAGTTCAAGGTCTAACAAAATGGACATATGTTTGGTGGGCTTGTGTCAAAGTACTAAAAGAGGATCCGTTTGCCCGAGAAATGATGGTCTGTAATGAAAGTGATGATGATAGGATCATGTTTTTAGAGGGTTATACTGGATATGATCGTTTACGGAAGCTACATTGGAAATTGTTTCAAGACTTTGCAAAGTTGCAATGGTGATTCTTCAAGTGTCAACCTAAAGCAAAACATCAGAAACATAGAAGGGGGAATCATAGAGAATTTGGTGTTCCATCTCATGCAGAACTGATGTCATTATTCCAACAAGTGGGTTATAAATGTGATGGTGGAAAACTAGCTGAAGTTGGAGAAACGAGCGAAACGACGATTAATCTTGAAGATTAATTATTTTTTTGTTTTGTTTTAAGTGATCTTTTAAAGTTTATGCTTTTTGATATTTTTCTTCTTTTTTGTTTTTAGCTAATAATTTAGGGGTTTTCTTTGTTTCTAGCAAATAATTTAGGGTTTTTCTTTGTTTCTAGCTAATATATAATAGTTTTTTTTTTCTTTATTGGTTATATATTTTATAATTTTTGAATATCCTCTAATCAATTTTTTATTGTCTTTCTATATTTACAGGCCATACGATTAAATGAACTGTATTTTAGGGGTTTAGAAAATCTTACAGAAGAAGAGTTGCTAGAGTTGTACGAACTAGAAGACGAAGAGTTCATGAATATGATCATGCAACCTCTGCTGGAGTATTACCAAAGTTATTTTTTCAAGCAACCAATGACGTTTGAACAGGGAATCGGTTGGCTAAACCTCGAAAATCAGATTCAATGTCTAGTACGTTGCATGAGCATGTTACTGCAGCGGCGTCACCACTTACGGAGTACCGATCATATCAGTGTTGATGAGATGGTGGCGATGTTTCTCGTTACATGTGCACAAAATGATACACAACGTTATGTTGGGTTGTCGTTTGGTCGTTTCCAAGAGACTGTCTACCGAAAGTTTCACACGGTATTAAATGTAGTGGAGAGTCTTGCATGTGATTACTTAAAAACTCCAACAGAATCGTCACTCCAGCATTATCCATGTAAGTTACAAGATTCAAAATATTGCCCTTTTTTAATGAATTTGTTAGGGCACTTGACGGGACACATGTCAGAGTAAAAGCTGGAGGTTCTGATGCTGTTGGGTATTGGGATAGGCATGGACAAACAAGCCTAAACATAATAAGCATATGTGATATAAACATGGTCTTCAAGTATGCATGGCTAGGCGCATCTGGGTCTACACATGATTCGTTAGTGTTACAATATGCAATAGATGGAGATTCTTTATTCCCCAACCTCCTATGGGTAAATACTATATTGTTGATTCTGGATATGCAAACAAGCGAGGATTTCTAGCTCCATTTAGAGGAAAATATAGAGGAAACAGCAGAAAAAAGATCAGATATATCATCTTTCAGAATTTGATGAGGGTCATCCCATAAATAAAAAAGAATTGTTCAATAGGTGGCATGCATCACTTCGCTCGATAATTGAACAAACATTTGGAGTTTGGAAAAAGAAATAGACAATCCTAGACAATCTGCCTCGGTACGACGTCAAAACACAAAATAGAATTGTGCATGCTACTATGGTTCTTCACAATTTTGTAAGACTTTACAGAATTCCAGATGATGATTTTGAAGAAGATACTAGTAGATAGTTGAGACAATCATAGGCGGCGATTTGATAAAGAAGAGCTTAACACACTCGAAGAACAAGAGGCAACAACAGATAACCAATATATGAATCACATACAAGACCAGATTGCAAATCAGATTTGAAATTCATTTTAGGCTTTTATTAATCTTTATTATTATCAAAAATAATTTAGTTAGTTTGATGATTTTTATGTTAGTATTAATTTTTAATTGATTTTATTATTTTAATTTATAATAAACACTATTATTATATCATTCGTTAAATTTTATTTTAAATAATATATATTGCAATTTATATATCAAAAGAGTTACCAATTATTTATTTTAACTCGGATTTTTACAGCAAGTTTACCATATAAATCTACTAATTTTAACACATAAATTTACTGCAATTTACATTGAATTATAACATCATATGTAACTCAATTATAAAACTTGATGTCACCAATCGGAGTCTTTCACAACCTGATCACTTGAGAAGCTGGATGTTATGCCTATTGCTTGCACTCATAAAGGGTAAACTCATTATGATTATCTTATGACTCATTGCTATGTGAATTATGTCATCCAAATGCTGCTTAAAATAATGAAGCATATTGAGGTATGGTCTTTGACCTTTGTGAATCAAGCACACTTGTGATGGGATAAATGAAGTAATATAAGAAAAAATGTGTTGGTGAATCTTATGTCTTTTCTAATGATATTTACATACAAATGTCGTAACTTGGTCACTTGGTCACATATCTTAAAGAACTGATTTTTATTTTGCACAAGAAGTGAACTAAGCTACATAGGTGATTGAATAAATTACATACAACTGGTTTTTTTTTCACTGTCCATCATTTCATGTTTTAACAAAAAATTTTAAGTTTTATCGATTAGGTCAATGTTTATTTATATAATAATATGTTTTCAATGTAACACAATGATGATGAAGGAAAATAATTTTGTTAAACTTATTACTGACCATACTTCCATTGAGATGATGGTTGGATCACCTATTACTAATATTCTGTTCCCCAAATTTTCTATGAGAATGATGAAAGCATCTGAGAGTGATATGCAGTCTTCCATTATAAAAATGTTCGATGCTATAGAACTTTTCTGCAATCATAAATGGTAAAATGCTTATTGTCTAGCTCTATATATGTGTGTTTATTTCGTCTACGCCTGATTCTTTTGTTCTTCTTTGATTTGTTTGTTCTCATCAACTACTTTGGGCAGTGTGCATGGTCACTCCATGTATCCTAGCTTATAGTTAAGAAGCTTGCTGGAAGCTTATTCGATCTACCAACATGTATGAAAATCATGTGCTACAGAAAGCAATTCGTTATGCAGATGAAGTGATGGCGAGTACTCAATTTTGTGGCTTTGATAGTTCTTTTTGTATCTACCAACTTATGAATGAATCCTTTTTAGTTCTTGGGCTGAAAGCTAGTGGTGGTTTCTCTTCTTCTGTGGCACATTGCTTCTAATATGACCTTCGTTAAGTAATGCTACTGATTTTTTTTGCAATATTGATTTCATAATCAGATTTAGTTATCTTCTCCCTTTGATTTGAAAATGTCCAAATTTAGCTAGAAATCGTGGGAGCTAATGGTATGCAGATAATGTGCCTGATTGCAACACCCTAGTTTTAATATTTGGACCAGTTTGGATTAATTAAACGTATGAGGCCCAAGCCCATTTATCATTCTTTTATTAGTCGGACGTGTAAGTGTGAAAGCGTGATTGCGTACGTTGAGGAGAATCAAGGTAAAACCTATCACCCAATTTTCACGTAGCCGCTGCCTTAGAGAGAAAGAGAAGGAGATACTGTTCACCATTGGTGATGTTTCAGTCCGTAGTTGTGGTGGTGACGCCTAAGCATTAGTCAGTAGCGAAAAGAAAGGGGAGATCAAGTTTTAAAGAGATAAAAGAGGAACATAATTAAGAAGGATAAGAAGCGTAACAAAAGAAATCGTGAAAGTAGGCAAAGAGAGAAGGGATGTTAATTCAAGGAAGAAGAAGACAGACAAAAGTAAGAGAGATAATAGAGTGTAGAAGAGGTTGTCTCGGAGATAATAGGAGAGGAAGCAGAGACGTAGGTGTAGCGAAAAGGAGGAGACGATGCTCACGTGAGGAAGAGAGTTTTCGTCTGGAAGAGAACACCGCCACTAAGGAAAAGCACTGGAAAAGGAAGATCTGATCTGTTTCAATGAGAAGAAAGAACAGAGCAGATCGGAGTAGATCCGAATGTCAAAACCTGAGTTCAAGCAAAGCAGATTGAAGAAGAAAACAGTGTAATAAGAGCAATTTTGGAGGCATGTTAGTGGAAGAGGAAATGTTGGTTATGTGCACCGAGGGCAACGAGGTTCTGGTTGTCTCTAACTAACTTAAAACAGGAACAACATACCTTAACTCACGTATGTGGTTGCTTCAGGACCGTCCGATTTTGACGGATTAACTGCAGAGATCCGTCTGGAGCACTCACCGTCGACGAGAAGAAGACCTGTGCTTCCTTTTCTTCATTTTTTTTTTCTAAAATTAATTTTCTTTTCTCGTCCGTTTACTCTTCTCATTTATATATATGCTCCACTTGTGGGTTCCTTTTGCTGTTTAAATCAACCACTTCTATTAAAATGCGAGTCAATTAATTACTACTACAGCTAATTATTAATATTTATATTTATATTTTTATCAGAGATTAAAAAGGATCGTTTTGTATTTATTTTTTTTCATACCGCGTACGATGTTGTTCTTGTATATAATTATTAGACCTATTATTTATGTTAATAAAATTAGTTACATGGCCGTTTCTTAGCTATTAATTACTTCTCATATATACACTAATTTGAATCATCCGCTAACAAAAAAATAATAATCAGTTCCTTAATTTACTCTTTTTACTTTTGGTTTTGACTATTTAGTGGTTGCATGTTCGGCTTTTTTAATTACGAGAATTTCAAATACAAAAATTATTAATTTTCTTTATTAATCAGAAATGAAAAAGAGCTTTTTAGTTTTTGGTTCATGTAATACTATTATTATATAATTGCATGTTATGGCGGTGTCACATTGAAATTTAATTATACTAAGCAACTTTATTTTCATTTCTTCCTAACGGTACCAAACAACATGGGATACCATTATAAACTATTGGGAATTGTTCAAAGATAAATTCATAAAAATAGCTTGTGAAATTAGGATTTTCGCAGAACTAGATGTCTGTGGCGGTAACAAAATTCTTCAGAAAGATGAACCCGTTCTCTTCCGTCGCAAGGACGTGTATGTCGTCTCTATAACTTTCGTGGAGGCACTCTCGGATTTCAGAATCGCTACAGTTTCCATTATCCTCCTTGACATAATATCTACACGCTGAACATCAGTGGTCAAAATTTAAATCTATGCTCTGAATCGACTAATAGTCATGGTTTCAGACACATGAAGAAGATGTTGCACATAGGAAGAATGAGAAGCAATAGAGGAAACAGTTACAAAGCAATGAGGTTCTGGTAGTCTCTAACTAACTTGAAACAGGAACAACATACCTTTACTCACGTACGTGGTTGCTTCAGGACATTTTGATTTTGACGGATTAACCGCCGAGATCCGTCTAGAGCACTTAGCGTCGACGGGAAAGAAGACCTCTGCTTCATTTTCTTTTTCTAAAACTAATTTTTTTTTCTCCTCCGCTTACTCTTCTCATTTATATATCTACTGCACTTGTGCGTCCTTTTTTTGCTGTTTAAGTCAACCACTTCCGTCAAAACGAGAGTCAGTTAACTACTACTACAGCTAATGATTTACATTTTTATTTATATTTTTATCAGAGGTTAAAAAGCGCTCTTTTGTATTTATTTTCTTTCATACCACGTGCGAAGTTGTTCTCGTATGTAATTATTAGGCATATTATTTATATTATCAAAATTAGTTTCTCGACCATTTCTTAGCTATTAATTACTCCTCATATATACACTAATTCGAATCATCCGCTAACAAAGAAAGATAATCAGTTCCTCGTTTTACTCTTTTTTCTTATGGTTTTGACCATTGCCGCCAAGCATGTTCGATTTTTTTAATTACAAGAATTTCAAATACAAAAAATTATTAATTTTCTTTATTAATCAAAAATTAAAAAGAGCATTTTTTATTTTTTTGGTTCATGTAATACTATTATTATATAATCGCATGTTTTGGCCGTGTCACATTAAAATTTAATAATACTAAGCAAATTTATTTTCATTTCTTCCTAACAGTTCCAAACAACATGGTATTATCATTATAAACTCTTGGGAATTGTTAAAAGATAAATTCATAAAAATGGCATGTGAATTTAGGATCTTCGCATATATTTGGATGTCCAAATTCATAAAAATGGCTTGTGAAATTAGCATCTTTGCATAACTGGATGCCTGTGGCGGTAACAAAATTCTTCAGAAAGATGAGCGCCGTTCTCTTATGTCGCAAGGACGTGTATATCTTCTCTATGGCTTTCGTGGAGGCACTCTCAAATTTCAGAATAGCTACAGTTTCCAAGTATCCTCCTTGAAATAGCATCTGCACGCTGAACATCAATGATCAAAATGTTAATCTATGCTTTGAATCGTCTAATAGCCACGGTGGCACACACAGGTAGAAGATGTTGCACACGAGAAGTGGAAGAAGAAATAGAAGAAACAGTTACAGGGCAATGAGGTTCAGGTTGTCTCTAACTAACTTAAAATGGGAACAACATACCTTTACTCATGCATATGTTCGCTTCAGGACCGTCCGATTTTGACGGATTAACCGCCGAGATCTGTCCGGAGCACTCACCGTCAATGGGGAAGAAGACCTCTGCTTCTTTTTCTTTATTTTCTTTTTCTAAAATTAATCTTCCTTTCTCCTCCGCTTAGTCTTCTCATTTATTTATCTGCTGCACTTGTGGTTCTCTTTTGCTGTTTAAGTCAATCACTTCCGACAAAACGCGAATCAGTTAATTATTACTACAACTAGTTATTAATATTTATATTTATATTTTCACCAGAGATTAAAAAGGGCCATTTTGTATTTATTTTCTTTCATACCGTGTGCAAAGTTTTTCTTGTAGGTAATTATTAGGTGTATTACTTATGTTGACAAAATTAGTTACTTATCGTTTCTTAGCTATTAATTACTCCTCATTTTACTCTCTTTTTTGGCTTTGACTATTGCCGTCTAGCATGTTCGACTTTTTTAATTACGAGTATTCCAAATACAAAAAATTACTAATTTTCTTTATTAATCAAAAATGAAAAAGAGCATTTTTAGTTGTTGGTTTATGATTGCATGTTTTGGCGGTGTCACGTTGAAATTTAATAATACTAAGCAAATTTATTTACATTTCTTCCTAACGGTACCAAACAACATGGCATTACTATTATAAACTCTTGGGAATTGTTAAAAGAAAATTCATAAAAATTGCTTGTGAAATTAGGATCTTCGTATAACATGATGTCTGTGGCGGTAACAATATTCTTCAGAAAGATGAACCCGTTCTCTTTTGTCGCAAGGACGTGTATGTCGTCCCTTTGGCTTTCGTGGAGGCACTCTCGAATTTCAGAATCGCTACAGTTTCCAAATATCCTCCTTGAAATAGAATCTCCACGCTGAACATCAGTGGTCAAAATTTAAATCTAAGCTCTGAATCGACTAACAGTCATGGTTTCACACACATGAAGAAGATGTTGCACATATGAAGAGGAAGAAGAATTAGAGGAAACAGTTACAGAACAATGAGGTTCTGGTTGTCTCTAACTAACTTTAAACAGAACAACATACCTTTACTCACGTACATGGTTGCTTCAGGACCATCCGATTTTGACGGATTAACTATCGAGATCCCTCCGGAGCACTCACCGAGAAGAAGACCTCTGCTTGTTTTTCTTTATTTTCTTTTTCTAAAATTAATTTTCCTTTGTCCTCCGCTTACTCTTCTCATTTATATATCTGCTGCACTTGTGGGTCTCTTTTGCTCTTTAAGTCCACCACTTCTGTCACAACGCGAGTCAGTTAATTACTACTACAACTAGTTATTAATATTAATATTTTTATTTTTACTAGAGATTAAGAAGGGCCCTTTTGTATTTATTTTCTTTCATACCGCGTGCGAAGTTGTTCTCGTATGTAATAATTAGGTGTATTATTTATGTTAACAAAGTTAGTTACTTGATCGTTTCTTAGCTATTAATTACCTCCCATATATACATTAATTCTAATCATCCGCTAATAAAGAAAGATAATCAGTTCTTTATTTTACTCTTTTTCTTTTGGTTTTGAATATTGCTGCGAAGCATGTTCTATTTTTTTAATTACCAGAATTCCAAATACAAAATATTAATTTTTAATCAAAATGAAAAGAGCATTTTTAGTTTTTGGTTCTTGTAATACTATTATTATATAATTATATATTTTAGCTGTGTCACGTTGAAATTTAATAATACTAAGCAAATTTATTTTCATTTCTTCATAACAGTACCAAACAATATGGCATTATTATTATGAACTCTTGGGAATTGATAAAAGATGAATTTATAAAAATGGCTTGTGAAATTAGGATCTTCGCATAACTAGAAATCTAAATTCATAAAAATGTTTGTGAAATTAGGATCTTCGCATAAATGGATGTTTGTGGGGGTAGTAAATTTTTTCAGAAAGATGAACCCATTTTCTTTTGTCGCAAGGACGTGTATGTCATCTCTGTGGCTTTAGTGGAGGCACTCTCGGATTTCAGAATCGCTACAGTTTCCAAGTATCCTCCTTGAAATAGCATCTGCACGCGGAACATCAGTGGTGAAAATGTTAATCTATGCTCTGAATCGACTAATAGCCATGGTTGCACACAGGAGGAAGATGTTGCACACAGGAAGAGGAAGCAATGAGGTTCTGGTTACTAACTTAAAATGGGAACAACATACCTTTACTCACGTACATGATCGCTTCAGGATCGTCCGATTTTGACGGATTAACCGTTGAGATCCGTCCAGAGCGCTAACCGTCGACGGGGAAGAAGACCTCTGCTTCTTTTGTCTTTATTTTCTTTTTCTAAAATTTTGTTTTTCTCTTCGGCTTACTCTTCTCATTTATATATCTGCTGCAGTTGTGGGTTGAAACAAGACTTTTTGGGTCTAAACTCAAATATCCTTAGCCTCTAACCAGTTGTAGAATATGGATCAGGTATCAATCCAATTTATAGAAGATAAGATGCAAACAATGCCATAAACTAAGTCATGATGGGGTTTTGATTGAACAAGGACAAGTCTAACAATCTAGTAATGCAATAAAAGGAAAGCATAAACTAAATGCAAGTGAACAAAACTAAACAATGAACTTAAGGCAATGACTAAACAAGACCTAAGCAAGAATGACTACTAAAACAAGAATTAAGCAATATGTTCTTAAAGACAATTAATTAAAAGCAAGACTCAATGTTCTAAGCAATTGTGGGATAGTAGTTTTCAAGAGTCACAAGGGGATTTCTACTAAGGCACTCAACAAGCATTAACAAAGCAAGCAATTCTCAATATTATGCTCATAGACAAGGTATCTAAAGGGAACCACTTGACGTCAATAAGCAATCTATATTGAACAAGATCGAAGTGTCAGACCCACTTGTGATGGCGTATCCTTCAACCATGAGCATAAAGATCATAACCATTCTAGCCTAAGAGATGAACTAATCAGGCAACTACTCTCTCACCCAAGCAAGAAATCAGATCAACTTAACAATCTTGTGAATCAATAAGGACCTAGGCAGCTATACACCAATCAAAATATGGATTTAAGCACAAACTTGCAACATCCTAACAAAGCTAAGCAATGAACAAGAATGAAGCAAAGGCAAGATCTTTCAATGCATACTATCTAACCATCAAGCAAGAATCTCAAAACCAGCATTATCTAGCCCTAAGTGAATCATCTAGCTGTAGTGAACTATCACTTTGGTGTCACTGAACAAAGGAAACATAGACTAAGAAAGACTATCAAGCCAAATAAGCGAACCATGCTTAGCAAAGAGATATCAAGACATCAAGCGAACCATATGCATCTATCAAATTATATTCAATCAAAAGGGGCAAACTTTATCAACATTAATCACTAATTTGCAAGAGAAGGAGATAACAGAGAACCATTAAACAAGCCTAATCACCCCTTAATCACATTTTAATCACCATTTATCCTACTTAGAACCCTAAATCTAAGGGGGACTACTCACTAATCATGTTTAATCCCATTGATTTGGAGTTAAACATAACTAGATGAGGCTGAAATGCAAATATGATAAATCTAATCTACCAAGATGTAAGAACAAAGATTAAAAGCCAAGATTAAACCATAAAAATGCAAACTTTATTGAATATAAGGATCCTTAAGGCAAATTGCACTTTAAGGTTTAAAGAAGAGAGTTTTTGATAGAAAGCTAAACTTGGATCAGATAAAACTTGATAAAGATAATGTTTTGTGGCTTCCCTTTTATAGTAGGGAGCCAAAAGAAAAAACCTAAAAAGATAGGATAAGGTTAACAAAAGTCAAGTGGTCAACGCGGATAAGTTGCATCGAGGTCGTACAGACGATGTTCTGCTCGATATGTGACCTCGATATGGTTTGTGCAGCCCGCATCGACTTCCTTCCTCGATGCTGGTCCTCGATGCATACCAACGGCTTGAAATCCTCGTGCTGATTCTCTTC